ACAGAAGGCATAAGATGTTATATATCGACGCCTCCGAAGAATAGTATGCTAAGTCTGAAAAGTGAGTTTTTCAGTAGAAGCTTTCAAAGTATGGAAGTTTCTTGAATCTTACGTGCCATACTAAGTACATTTTTGCTTATAACTTTGGTTTGGATTGGCCGATGATTACCAAAATTTCAGAGAATTTAAATTAAGGACCGTAGTATCTAAAAACGTAAAGAACATTAAAACATGTCGACTTAGCATGGTTCGGAGGCGTCGATATATAGACACTATAACATTTTTTCTTAAAAAATCCACGCTTCTCTGATGTTCCCATAAATGTTCTTTAAAAAATCCACACCTCTCTGTGGTCTCTTAAAAATAGTCTTTAAAAAATCCACGCCTCTCTGTGGTCCCTTAAAAATATTCTTTAAAAAATCCACGCCCCTCTGTGGTTTTTGAAAAATATTCATTAAAAAATCCACGCCTCTCTGTGGTCCCTTAAAAATATTCTTTAAAAAATCCACGCCCCTCTGTGGTTTTTGAAAAATATTCATTAAAAAATCCACGCATCTCTGTGGTTTTTGAAAAATATTCATAAAAAAATCCACGCCTCTCTGTGGTCTCTTAAAAAATAGTCTTTAAAATATCCACGCCTCTCTCTGGTCTCTTAAAAAATAAGTCTTTAAAAAATCCACGCTTCTTTTGGTCTAAGAAACAATATTCATTAAAAATCCATTGAAAAAAAATTGGTTAAAAAAACTGACACCTCTCGGAGGTCCCTAAAAATGTTCCCAAGAATCCACGTTTCTCTGAGGTCCCTGAAAAGTCCACATTTCTCTTGAAAAAATATTCTTTAAAGATTTACGCCTCTTTGTGGCCACTTGAAAAATATTCTTTTAAAAATCCATGCTTCTATGTGGTCCCTAAAATATTCTTTAAAAAATCCACGCCTCTTTGTTTTCCTAAAAATATTTATTAAAAAATTCCCGCCTCTTTGTTGTACTAAAAGAATATTCATTAAAATATATTCTTTAAAACATCCTTACAGCCTTACGTTATACGCCGCTGTTTAACTAAAGCATTAATCGTGTTTTTCTGAGTGTAGCCAACTTTGACACTTCTTGACACTCTGTGTGACAGCTTGCATCAGTTGTATCTGTGTGTTATTTTTCTTCAACAGAGTTATCTCTCTGTGTTGCCGATACATTCTGATATTTTTTAAGTTTATTTAAAATCGTTTAATTAGTATTTAAAAAAGAAAAACAAAATGAAAATTTTATATAAAACTCTGCTGTTTACAGCAGTGTTTATGGCTGGTTTCCTGATACTGAATACAACGGCTCAAAGTAAACAGAAGGTATGTTCACCTCTATGATTTCCTCTACATGCCGCCAGGCCACGTCATTTTGCTATCAGCAGAGCATAATCAACAAATTGTATTGTTGGAAAAAATGCCGGTTGTGGCATTAATTGAAATGTATTTTTACACCTCCAATTTTCATTTACAGAGTGGCTTATCGCTGTCCGAAAAAGTACAAAACCTTATGGATATGAACAACAAGAAGGCTTTGTTACGTTTTAATGGTCAGAAATTTAAGGAATATGTTAAGAATTCCCCGAGAAACTATTCCATGATTGTTATGTTGACGGCTCTGGCTCCATCGCGTCAATGTCAGATATGTAGACATGCCCACGATGAATTCCAAATTGTTGCCCAATCATATCGTTTCTCACCTGTCTATTCGAATAAACTGTTCTTTGCCATGGTTGATTTCGATGAGGGTTCCGATGTTTTCCAAATGCTACGCTTGAACACTGCACCGGTATTTATGCATTTCCCTGCTAAGGGTAAACCCAAGGGTGCCGATACCATGGATATCCATCGTGTTGGTTTTGCAGCTGATGCCATTGGTAAATTTATTGCCGAACGTACTGACATCCAAATTCGTATCTTCCGTCCACCAAATTATTCGGGAACGGTTGCCATGATAACATTGGCTGCCTTGGTTGGTGGTTTCCTCTATATGCGTCGTAATAATTTGGAATTTTTGTATAATAAATCGATATGGGGAGCCATTGCTGTGTTCTTCTGTTTCACCATGATCTCGGGGCAAATGTGGAATCATATTCGTGGACCACCATTGGTACACAAATCACAGAATGGTGGTGTGGCCTATATCCATGGTTCGTCACAGGGACAATTGGTCGTGGAGACCTATATTGTTTTGGGTTTAAGTGAGTAGCTACTAATCTAACATTTAAATTCATTTGTTAAAATACCATTTTTTTTATTTTAGATGCTCTCATCTTCTTTGGCATGCTGCTGCTAACGGAATCTGGCAGCCAAACAGATCCACGCAAGGGACGCATTATGTCCATTGTTGGTTTAGCATTATTAGCTATATTCTTTTCATTCCTACTTTCGGTGTTCCGTTCAAAGGCTCAAGGTTATCCCTATAGGTAAATATAATTTATTAATTTTTTAACTCTTTTATTCAATTTCTTAATTTTGTTATTTCTTTTTCAGCTTTTTATTTAAATGAAATTATTTATGGCAAAGTTTTTAAATATCTAAAATTAATGTAAACTTCAATAGATGCGTTTTTCTATACATACAATAATTTACGTACGAAAATAAAAAAATAATAATAATGTTTTGTTTTTGTCTAAACAAATTTAATAAAATAGTATTTTTCCTTAGAAATAAACGAGAAAGGAGGGATTAACATTTTGTATGAGTGCTAAGATAAAAATTCTAGAAAAAATGGCAATGACTTCCAAAAGCGTGAATTTTTAAAAGGGTATATTTCCATAAGCGTGGATTTAAAAAATTGTATATTTTCAAGGACGTCCACAAGTGAGATTTTTTAAAGAAAATATTTCAAGGACTTAAAAATCAAGGATTTTTTAAGTAAATAATTTTAAAGACTTCCAAAAGTTTGGATTTTTTTAAAGAAAATATTTTCAGGGACTTCCGCAAGCATCGATGTTTGCTAGAAAAAAACTTTTCAGAGACTTTCAAAAACGTCGTTATTTTAATAAACAAATCCATAAGGGAGGATTTTTGAATAAAATATTATCAAGGATATCCGCAATTGTGAATTTTTAAAAGGGTATATTTTTAAAGACTTCCACAATCGTGTACTTTTAAAAGGGTATATTTCCAAGAACTTCCACAAACACGATTTTTTAAAAGGGTATATTTTCAAGGACTTCCAAAAGCGGGGATTTTTTTAAAGAAAATATTTTCAAGGACATCCAAACGCTAGGTTTTTTTAAATTCCAAAACAGTTCGGATTACAAGAAAATTAACTATTTTTTGAAGATTGGTTTTTTAAATTACTTTTTGAAGGGTGGATTTTTTTAAATATTTTTTTTGAAGCGTAGTTTTTTTCAAAATTTCTTTTGAAGTGTGTATTTATTTATATATTTCATAGTGCCCAGTCTTTCGACCTTAAGGCTGTAAGCTACATTTCACAATTAAATATAAAATTTATCGTATTAAGCGGCTTAAATGTAAAAGGGAGGGATATTGAACTACTAAAGAATATTATACCGATTAAATTACAAAAAAAAAAGTTTTTGATTATTATAGATTATGATTAAAAAATTTGATTAATTGGATTATGACTACTCCTACTTGGATTAAAAAAAAATTGGAAACGTGCATTTTTTAAATATTTTATTTTGAAGCGTAAATTTGTTAAAAAATGGGCGTTGAGTTTCTTACAAAATATTTGGAAAAACTGAATTTTAATTTTTTTTTTTAATTTTTCCAAAAGTTCAGTTTTAAAATTTTTTGGAATAGTGGATTTAATTAAAAAATTTAAAAATTGAATTTCAAATATTTGGAGTGAATTTTGAAAAGTGAATTCTTATTAAAAAGATTTTCAAGTTTTAAAAAATATTTGGACACAATGAACGAGCATAACAAGTGCCTCGATCATTTAAAAATTCTGTCCGATCTTCTACCTGAATATGTTGTGTAAAATTTTGTTATGTTCGCATCATATAGGTGACCTCTAGAGTGACCAGAAAAGCATACTAAAACCAGTAAGGAAAGTTCAAAAGTCGGACCGAACATACAAGATATGTTAATATCTGTAATATCCTGTAGATAGAAAAGACATAGAATCTTTGGAGAACCATTGAGATGCAATCGGGCGAATTAAATGTGCTATCATGGTATAATAATAAAAGGTAACAGCAAGTGTTGTTGTACAACAAACGATACAACAACCACATGGAAATTTGTTGTTGTAAGTTCTACTAGTGTCAACTCTTTTGACAGAAAAATGTAAACAAACAAACAAATTATCATCAAATTATTTTTATTTTGAAAATGAAATATTTTTGAATCCACAAAATACAAATTGAAAAACATGAATGAAAATATATCAAATTTATATTTCTATCGCTTCCACATCTTTACTATAATTGAGCCATTGCCATATATAGGTGTAACACGTATGCAAATGCTGGGAATAGCGAGTTCTTCCTTGAAGAAAGATTTGCTTCCTCAAACGATCCCAGCAGGCAGATTGAGTAAATTGAATACGGGAGGACATTTAATAAAGAACAATTTCGAATTGAATAAGTTTCCAATTTTCCTGTTGGGTGCTTTTTAAAAACATAATTTGTCAAATGCATATTGACACTAGTATTACGTTGGAATCAAATCAGCTGGTATTTGCTGTTACCTTTTATAATTGTACCATGATGTGCTATATAGATAGATATTTGAACCAATTGAAAAAAATCCAATTTTGAAATCAATGAAAATTTGCATGTCAAACGGACAGACTGGGATGGGAGTTATATTTAAATCTGAACCGATTTTACCAAAACTTCGCAGACATTAATCTAAACCTAATTCAGTACTCTGTGCAAAATTTTGTCTCAATCGGACAATAAAAATTTGCATGTCAAACGGACAGACTTGGATGGGAGCTATATTTAAATCTGAATCGATTCGCATACATCAGTCTGGACATAATTCAGTAATAAGTATGGACCTGATTCAGTGCGCTGTGCAAAATTTTGTCACAATCGGACAAATATTGGGAGTTTGGTGCATCATTTACATAAAATCGGACGAAACTATATATGGGAGCTTTATCTAAATCTGAACCGATTTTAACTAAACTTCGCAAATATCAATCTGCACCTAATTCAGTAGTCTGTGCAAAATTTTATCTCAATCGGACAAATATTGGGAGTTTAGTGCATCATTCACATAAAATCGAATGATACTATATATCGGACCTATATCTAAATCTGAACAGATTCCGACAAAACTTCGCATACACAAGTATGGACCTGATTCAGTGCGCTGTGCAAAATTTTGTCCCAATCGGAGAAATATTGGGAGTTTGGTGCATCATTTACCTAATCTCGGACGAAACTATATATGGGAGCTATATATAAATCAGAACCGATTCCAACAAAACTTCGCATACATAAGTATGTATCTGATTCAGTGAACTGTGCAAAATTTTGTCACAATCGGACAAAATTTGGGAGTTTGGTACATCATTTACATAAAATCGGACAAAACTATATATGGGAGCTATATCTAAATTTAAACCGACTTTCTACAATTTCAATAGGGTTCGTCATTAGTGAACTGTGCCAAATTTCATCCAAATCGGATCATAAATGCGACCTGTACTTTGTTCACAAAAATACATGGACGGACGGACATGCGTAAATCGACTCAGAAAGTGATTCTAAGCATATTCTCAATAGGAACCATGGGTCTATCTCGATTCCTTTTGTCTGTTACAAACATTGCACAAGGACATAATACCCTGTACCACAGTGTGGTGGTACAGGGTATTATGTACCACAGTGTGGTGAAGGGTATTATGTACCACAGTGTGGTGAAGGGTATAATAATGTATTTGATTACCTAATTAACGATAGCTTTGGCTTGTACTTTAATTACTAATTATAATGATACATAATGAACAGACAGACGGACTAATGAAGTTCAATCTCATTTTGATCCCTTTTCTGATCTCTAATTCATAATTATAATTATTTTTATATGACATCATTAACGAAATAATTTAAATAAAAACACTTTATTTTTTCATTATTTATGTCTGTGATATATTGAACTTTTGAGCAAAGTTGAAACATTTAATTATAAATAAAATTAAGCATGCTCTTTAATGATAATAAAATATGATCTTAGCTACTTAAGTACTACAGATATGTATGTGAAGTGTGGAATGTTTGGACGCGCCAAAACAAAAATGCTTACTTTGGTCTGTAATACTATACATAAATTATACAGAATGAATTGCATATAAAATAAATATAAACTTAAAGTAAAAATGGTATTAAAGCCTTGCGTTGTTTGGGATAATTCTTGAAGTTTTCCTTATACCATTTGTGGGTCAACAGGGCATTCATTAACTGTAAGAAAGAAAAAAAATTAGATTGTTAATGGATAACACTGAGTTCCATCCTATGATTTATAATTAACTATAATATTTCAAATGCCCACCTGATTACTAAACACCCATATGACAACCAATTTCCAGGTGAAACTCTTGCCCACAATACCCAACAATGAGACATACATAAGTATTTCGAATAGCATATGGGGTGATGATACCACCTGGAAAAATCCTCCACTAGGCAGCAAATGTTTTTCAGTTTCCACCTTGCCGGTATTGGGATTTTTACGTAAATTAACCAAAATCATATTCGATTTATATTGCTGGGACCAGCTAAAGTGAAACACAAATATGCAGACATATTGTAATAAAGTGATTTTTGTAAAACTAAATGAAGAGGGGAGGGAATCTGTAAAAGCAATAAAAAAAAACAAAAAACACCAACATTAAATTTAAAATTCAAATTTGTTTATGGTCATCATAAAAATTAACATACCTTTAACAAAACCCTCAGTGTTCAACAACAATGCCAGAATGGCTCCGAAATAATGTAAATACCCCACCATGTAATGGGATAAATTCATTTTACTTTTCTTTGAAAAGATTTGTACGAAATTCGTTTCATAGAAACGACGGGCACACTGCAACGCCATTAGGACACTGGCCACCAGCGCACTATTCGAATTAATTAACACCTGACGATTTTCCGACCCACCAGCCATAAAGTCTAAAAATTCGATGACATATTCCGGAGCCGTACTATGCATAATTATACCCTTGAGCACCAGATATAGAGCCAACATTGCCCAGGAGAAAGCAAATATATAGAAATGTTTAAACCATGATTTGGGCACCTCCATACGGGATACCATCGTTATTTCGGGACCATTATGTTTATGTTTGCCGTAACGAAAGGATTGTTTAATGAAATCGGGCAGAATGGATTCCACGGCCGTAATGAGCGATCCAAATATCACAATTATTACAGTGAATCCAATAAATATTGTATTGACTAAATTCAGTTTATAATAGTTGAGATAATTTTCTACTAATTCGAGTAACATTTTGTAAATGTTTTTGTTAATATTATCCGCTTAAATCTGTGTTAACCGTTTCACGTTGTCGTGAATTGAATGCCAAAATTTTTGTTGTTTATTGTTAGCTGTTTTCCGCTTTCTCTTTGGCTGACTGACTGAAAAAAAAAATATGAAAACAAATACAAACAAATGTATCTCACGCACATTTGGCAGATGTTTTGAAACACAATCGACGGCGTTTAGCGTTTGTAAGAGAATAGGGTGTCGGCGTTTTATTAAGTAGCACAATAATACAACTCTGTATTTAGGGTCTAGTTTCGTCAAATATACAAATATGTCATAAACAATTCACCCAAGATGTATTCTGTAAATCACAATCAGTGTGTTTTTTTAAATTTTCTGCAAACTAATTAGGGCTCAAATAATATTTTCAATGAAATTATTTTAAATTAGCCCCAAAACGTAACAGAAAAAATAAGAGATGAATTGTAAACTTCCATTTTACCGCGATAATACAACAGTTTATTTAGGGGATTTGTTTACAGTTTTTATATTAGTTTGGGGAAAAAGAAATCCTTTTTTTTCGGCAGATTTCTGTATTTATATATTTCTCGTAAAGTATCTATCAAACAATTTCAGATTTATGCTCGTTGGAAGGATGACATTTCGCAGAAAAAAATTATTTTGCATTTTTGTTTAGTGCATTCAGTTGTGAGTTACAGGAAAGTGGACAAAAGAAAATTCGGCACATTTTACAAATTTTCTTTGACAAAAGCAAAAAATGCAAACCAAGCGGCTGAAATTGTGAATGATTTTTATGGTTCCGATACCTTAACATCCAATTATGTGCAATCTCGGTTTCGAAGATTCCGTTAAGGAATTTTTGATGTTAAAGGTGCACCTCGCACAGATATCGGAGAAATGATCGAAGTTGATCGGCATGTTAGCAGTCATAATATCGCCCAGGAGCTAAAATTCGGTCATAAAACTATTTTAAACCATTTACAAATGACCAGAAACGGCCAGACTTGGCCAAAAGGAGAGGTGTTGGGTTCCACCGGGACAACGTTAGGCCAGACACATCTACAGTGACTCGGGAGCTTGGTTGGGAAATTTTAATGCAGTCCGGATTAGGCACGAAGCGATTATCACCTTTTTCTTGGATTGCAAAATTTTTTTAATGATAAAAAATTGGTACCTAGAGAGGATTGCGAAAATTGACTACTAGAGTTTTTTACAAATAGAGAGCAGGACTTCTGTGAGAGAGGAATTATGAAGTTACCTTTAAAAGTGGCAACAAATCATACAACAAAACGTTACATATTTGGTCCAAATCGGAGAATAAAGTCCTATAGTTTATATAAAAATAATGGACTTCTTTTCCCCAACCTTATATAATCCACTGGATTTGTGAAGAAGACGTATGCGCTGTGGAATTGACGTTTGATCGAGTGGATTTAGTAGTCTAAACTTGCTTTTATTATTACTTACTTAGCTGGCTTTTTTGCAGAACGGTTGTTCCATAAGCCGAGCCTAAAAAAGATTTTCAAGCGCGTCGGCCTTGTGCGCCACTCCTCCAATTAATGTCTTTTACTTGGTATGTCCATCTAATTCGTGGTCTTCCCCTTCTGCGTGAACCATCAGTAGGCTCGCTTTTATATGCTTTTGAGCTGGGGCATTCTCATTCATTCGCACAACATGGCCTAGCCACCGTAGACGCTTCAGCTCAATACGACTGACTATGTCGATGTCCGCGTATATATTGTAAAGCTCGTAGTTCATTCGATACCGATATTCACTGTCTACGCAGATCGCCCCGTAGATTTTTAGGAGAATTTTTCTCTCAAACACCCCAAAAGCTGCCTCATCTGCTTACGTAAGTACCTATGCTTCGATTTGGCGGGAGGTGGCCTTGTTTCTAAACTGCTTACTTAGACCATAGTAGCATCTGGTGGCCAACACTATTCTTCCCCGAATTTCAAAACTAATGTCATTAGTTTAATTTATGGCGGTACCAAGGTATATAAAATTTTTAACTACCTCGAAGCTGTAGTTTTCAAGTTCCACAGTTGGTCCGAGTCTACTGGACGTCTTGCGCGTTGATACCATCAGCATGGTCTTCTCGCCATTTACTGTCAGACTCCTTCTCAATTTGTCCAAAGGTGGCTGTTACCGCTCGCAATTTTCGACCCATTACGTCGAGGTCATATGCGTAGGAGAGTAGCATGTGTTGTTTTGTGTACAGAGTGCAATTTCTGTTCACCTTTGCCTCTCATATGACCTTTTTCAGCAGGATGTTAAAGATATCACACGACAAACAGTTATCTAGTCTGAAACCTCGTTCGGTTTGGGTTGCAATATACATAGAACTGGAAAATATATCAAATTTTAAATATAAAGGTTTGTTAGCTACACACGTTAGTTAAATATTAATTGATGTATTTACCTGATTTCATAACATCGATACTATCCAAAGCCAAGGTGGAATATTTTTTAATAAACCCCAAAATGTAAAAAAAGTCTAATATTCTATATTGTCCTCGTAGTGGATATAGGACCTAAGGAGGACCCTACATTGTAGGGTATAAACAATTAATGTACACATTTTATCTATTATTACATTTTCAAACATAAACTTGTTTTAATTAAAACAATTAATTTACATAATGAAATTTACATATACCGATAATAAAATTATCTCCCCATTATGTTGTAAAGTCATTGCGTTACTTCGTATTCGAAAGACAATAGCACATCGGTAAATACAAAATTCATTATGTCCGCGAGTGATTTGGAAACCATTGTTTATTTCATAGAAACTTGGAATATAAATCTTTTAAATATTATATTTTTCGCAATAAGTGCATTTGTAATAATTGGTGCATTTCTAATGCACTTTACTCGAATCAAATTACCTAAAAGTGTAAAGACATTTTTCCTGTTCGGCAAATATGCAGCATACAGTTCGAAAACATCAATATTGACAGTACATAAATCATGGATTTCACATGCCTATATATTAGGTTCAATTGTATCAACGTGGTACATTTGGCTAATTCTCGATATGACCATCTTTCAAAATAAGTTACCAAAACATATTGAAATATTAATTAGCATACTTGCTGGTGGTAAAAATCGTAAAATTATTTTAAATTCAACTGAATGTTTAATTGTCACAATACTGGTGGCTCTACAATGTCTACGTCGGGCATATGAGACAATTTTTACACAAATATTCTCCACCAATAGTCGTTTAGATGTTAAACATTATTTATGGTCGTTATTATACTATTTTGTGTTGATACACGTGCTGGTAGCCAATGCTGAAGGATTCGTCAAAGGTAAGTTATAATAATTTTTCTATTGTTGGCTCTAAAATAACGGATTTTTATAATTGCATCTGTTCAAGGTTCCACTGCCACTCCCATTGATTTCTCCACGCTCTCAATAATCCAGGTCATTTCAATTTTGGTATTCTTATTTTGTTGGTGGCATCAATATCAATCAAATTTAATTTTGATACGTTTACGAAAGGATAACAACTCGGGCAGAGTGGTCACGGAAAAACATCTGCTCCCAAGAGGTGGTTATTTTGAATGGGTGTCATCGCCTCATATGCTCTATGAAATTGGTCTATATATTTCATTACTTTTTGGATTTTTAGTCAAAAGTGTTACATGTTGGCTTATGTTAATTTCAATTTTAAGCAATCAGGTAAACTTATCAATTGTCATATAACTTTCTTTTATATTTAAAATCTAATATAATTTTCAGATTTATATTGCAATCCAGACACACGTTTGGTATATGGAAAATTTAACAAATTATCCACATAATAGAAAAGCTATTATACCATTTATTTTATAATTTAATAAAATGTAATAAAAATATTATTTTTCCAGTATTGGCTTCTGTCAAATATATATCACATTATAGCGAAAAATGCGTTATATATGTTTGTTAAGGTCAAATTTTAATTAAAAAACAAAAGAGATAATCCATATTTCAATCGATTTCTAAAAATACATATTATTTAATATTATATGCTTACATATTTTTTATAAGACAACCCAATTATTTTTGCATTATCCTGAAGTAGTCAGGTTAAAATGCCAACATTTTGCTCATTTGTTATACCCGAAATCGTTAAACTGATTATTCATTATACCGACAATCGAATGTACTTACATTTTATAGAACAAGCCACCCTGATAAAGGTTGTAATCAGTTGTTAGCTATGTTCTACCTTGTAATTATTATACCATGGATGTATTTATTTTTTATTTATTTGGTATGCACATATAAAATTCACTGTATTTAAGAATAGGATTTACTTGACATATACGCTATGGAATTGACATTTGCGTTCGAGTGGATTTCGTAGTCTTAACTCGCTTTTGAAGTACTTTTACTGTCCAGGACTTATAACTATTATTCTATAATGTTGCTGCGGAACACACATGCCGAACATATTAGAAAAGTAGCGGTAGTATAGCTTTCCTTTTCCTGGGATAATTTTTAAACGTCTGTTTATACCACTTGTGAGTGCACAGTGCATTGTAGACCTAAAAAAACAAAAACATTATCAAATTTCCAATTACAATATTCAAAATGAGTTTAATGCGAATATAAATATTTTAGTCGTAATAACAATATTCTAATCCTAAAAAAAATAGTAAACAAAAGGACCAACGTATGGCGAATCAATTCAATAACCTACACCATTTTTGGTATAACAGGATTCCTTTTACAATCCATATACATATACCAATAAAAATACATAATAAAATATGAACCGATTTAATCTAAATTTGATACATGCTATTCTGGAATGAAGTCTGACTTTTTATATGATTTCATCCTGAAATGATTTCAACCAACTTTTATATACAAAAATATGTCCTTCGAACCATAGTATAAATGGATGGACATATTATTGCATCATGTACCTATCTAATTACATTTTTGGGGTGAAACACACATTTTGTGGTATTACCTTCTTGATTTTGTGAAAAAAAATCATTATTAACATTTCACGTTTTAATAATGTATTGCATATGTTTATTTTATATTTGACACAAGAAGCCACTACCTACAATGTTGCTCTTTTGTCACCATCAAGTTGTCTACCTTGTATTATTAGGTTCGTTCGTTTACTCAATAATTTGTACGAATTTGTACAAATTATTACAAAATGTTGTTCGTTTACCCAAAAGTCCAGTAAAAGAGAGTGAATTGAGAGAGCAGATTTGACAGTTGTGTTACTGAGTATTTGCAAATTCTTACAAGGAAAATTTACTCAGTAAGAATTTTCTTGTACCATCAGCTGATATTTAATCAGCTGTTTTGTTATGTTTTGTAAACAAACAAAAAATTGTTCTCAAGAAAATTAATTGTTTTGTGAATTTTATTTTGATTTTGTATCATTAAATAGTTAAAACATACCGGTCACAACCCCTTTAAATGTTTGTGGGGAACAAACAACATCAAATTATCCATTTTTCAAATAAAATTGCTGTTTTTTAGTTTGCGCCAATTTGTTTGTTGTTTTAATCAGCTGTGTCGAAACAATCTTTTTACTGGATGTTGTTCGTTTACTTTTTGCAGTTTTCTCTCTTGAGAAGGAAAAAGTCGTATTTACTCTCTGCAATTTCTTACTGAGTAAATATATACAACATTTTTACTGGATGTTGTTCGTTTACTTTTTTCAATTTTCTCTCTGAAATCAAAAATTCGTATTTTACACTCTACAAATTCTTACTGAGTAAATGTTACTGGGAAAGTAAACGAACGGACTTTTCCCCAGCAACATTTACTCATCAAGAATTTGCAGAGAGTAAAATACAAATTTTTGATTTCAGAGAGAAAATTGCAAAAAGTAAACGAACGACATCCAGTAAAAATGTTGTATCGACACAGCAGATTAAAACAGCAAACAATTTGGCGCATACAAAAAAGTAGCATTTTTATTAAATAATGGAAAAACAAGCGAAAATTTTTGTTGATTATAAATACTTGCGTTTTTTTCATCCATTTCAATGTTTAATGATACAAAATCAAAATAAATTTCACAAAAAAATCAATATGCTTGAGTAAAATATTATTCCTTGTAAGAATTTGCAAATACTCAGTAAGAGAACTGTCAAATCTGCTCTCTCAACTCAGTTCCTTTTAGTGGGCTTTGGGGTAAATGAACAACATTATTTTAAAACATGTGTACAAATTATTGAGTGAACGAACGAACCTAATGAACGCTAATAGACCACACCAAATTATTTCATTCGATACCTCAAATTAAAAAAAACACACTCACCTGATTACTAATCACCCATATGACAATCAGCCACCATGTCAAACATTTTCCCATGAAACCCAAGAGTAGAGCTACATATAACATAATTTCGAATAGCATATGTGGCGATGATACCCATTCAAAGAAACCTCCCTTGGGTAGCAAATGCTTCTCTGTGGCGACTTTTCCCGTTTTGCTATCCATGCGTAAATTCACCAAAATTAAATTCGATTGATATTGATGCCACCAAGAGAAAAGGAACAAGGCGAGTCCCACATAATTTATAAAATATAGCTGTGACAATTTGAGTCCCTCAGACGGGGAATCTAAAATATAAAAAAACATTTTTTATTATTTTAATTTTATAGTATTAATTTACCATACTTACCTCTTACAAATCCTTCAGCATTTATCAAAATAGTTAGGATCGCTCCGAAATAATGCACCAAACCCACCAGATAATGTCCCATATTTATTTTATTTTTCTTGGAAAAGATTTGCACAAAATTTGTTTCATAAAAACGTCGTGTACACTGGAGACACATCAGACTCATAACAATTAGGCATGACGTGGAATCGATTAACACTTTACGTTGTCGACCACCACCAATTAAATCTAAGAATATCATTAGGAATTGTGGTATTTCCTTATGAAATATACTCGATTGGAGCACAAACCATAAACATAACCAGGATAACGCCATGGAAAATATATAAAAATGTGAAAACCATGATTTCGGTACTTCCAATTTTGTTATCAGCCAATTTTTTCCTTTGCCGCTGTAGGCATGTTTGCCATATCGTAATAATTGTTTAATACATGCCGGTAATTTATTTTCCATGCTAGTCATTAAGGCGCCAAATATCACCATTGGTAGACATAATCCAATAAATAGTAGAGTTAATAGATTTATATTCCATTTTTCAATGAAATTTAGAAGAATCTCTAAATTAATCGTTAACATATTGAGGAACTATTTTTCGTAAAACTAATTTTTCCACTTAAATGTTGTCTTCTTCTACCAAACTAATTGCAAAACTATTTGTTTGCCTTATCAAAATATGTTTGTTTGAAACAAATGCCGTTCAAAGTGCACACAAAATTATAGATAATACTCACATGGAACAACAAAAACTTCACCTAGGTCAAGATTTGTTGGTCGGCGTTAAGGAAACATTTTTATAACATCCACTATTGGAATGACAAATTTAATATACAAATGTTCAGTATTTTAAAGATTTTGTCCATCCAAAGAGACAGTTATTTGGCTTTTCGTATTCTTGGAGTGTGAAAACATATTTGTCCATATAGATCAGAGCCTTCATCTGTAATTTACAATTTCAGGTTATTGTGGATATATAGGTTTTTCGCCGGGAAATTTCAATGTAGATTCTTGTTTTGATATAGCTTCCACATAATTAGGCTCGTTCGTCTTCTTTCCCAGTAAAATTTACTCAGTAAGAATTTGCAGAGAGTAAATACGAATTTTTCGTTCTCAAGAGAGAAATTGCAAAGGAACAACATCCAGTAAAAAGATTGTATCGACACAGCTGATAAAAACAACAAACAAGTTGGCGCAAACAAAAAAGCAGGATTTTTTAAAAGAAAAATGGAAAACAAGCGGAAATTTTATGTTGAATAATAATACTTGTGTTTTCTTTATCCATTTTAATGTTTAATGATAAAAAATCAAAATGTTTAATGCTACACAAAACAATCAATTTGCTTGAGAACAATTTTGTTATTTCTTTACAAAATATACAGCAAACAGCTGACTAAATATCAGCTGATGGTACCAGAAAATTGTTACTGAGTAAATTTTTCCTTGTAAGAATTTGCAAATACTCAGTAATACAACTATCAAATCCGTTCTCTCCATTCACTCTCTTTTACTGGACTTTTGGTTAAGCAAAAAACATTTTGTAATAATTTCACTTAATTTTAGATATTTTCAGGTCTTCAGAGTATAAAATATCAATTAGCAGGCACTTTTTTATGTAGGTGGTAAGGTGGAAGACTTCCCCAAGCCTCTGTATAACACACAGTTTGTTGGACTTACTACATCTATTTCCTAGCAGAATACTTATAAATACTACTTTAGGTGCGCATACTCTTTTATGTACCATATGACTCGATTGTGTACCATATGACCCATCATTTTGGAGCATTAGACTTTACCACAGCACGGGTGGAATTAGCGAATATATGTTAAACACTCCACTTGGGGATTTTTGAAAAGTATTGAGAGCCATGTATGCTCGTCGGTGTCTGTGATTGAAAAGTGGGAGACGTGACATCAAAGGAACATTCAAAACTTCAAAGGGACATTCTACATACACACTTTTACGGGAAGCTGTGAGGACTGATAAAATGTCCAAAGAATATCAACCGGCTTCCTGGCTGACTATGGAAAATTTTACCTTTTGCCATTTTTTTAATAAATTATTTTTTTATTATATTACTGGACAACACCAAAAAGAACTTTGGAGACCACATAGAATATACATCCAATGACTTAATGCTATGAACGATTTAAAGCTATGAACGTGTGGATTGACACCGGACACAATAGACCGCACCAAAACAAAGTACATACGGGCTAAAATCGGACACCTATTCATACCCCCGAAATGAAATCCTGCATACGTTGCTGACCTATATGTATATGTGAATTCCGTGGGACATAGAAATGGTGAAACATTTCCTATGCCGCAGCCCTGCTTTTGAATCCAAATCCAGCGAATTTATAGAAGTTAAGGGATAACAAAATCCAAAGGTGATTTTCTTCTAAATTTCCTCTTATTCTAGAGCACACAATAGGCCTTTCACTGACAGAAGTGTATGATCTACTATTGGACATGTGGTAGTGTAAACAACCCCTTTTTTCAACCTAACCTAAATTTTTATTGTATTGTATATATCGACTTTTATCCGGTTAACCTACTTTATGTGTACTTATTATATATGTAATGTAATTGGCAATTTAAACCCACTGGGTTAACGAAATGTAAAATGTATAAATGTACTATAATAAACCGTATTCATTACTTCCCATAACATTTCAGTTGTGTCCCTTGTAAACACAGTATTTAATATGTACGTTACTCAATTAATACATACGCTACGTATTTGAGTAACCTGACATTTATCAGCTGTACAACCACTGACTGCATTTTCAGCAATTTGAGTTTCAAGCAATAGCATCTTCATTCCGTGTTTGTATTCTACTGTGTGAAGTTGTGGCAATTTTCTGGAATAAAACTCATTTAATTTTATTTAATACAAAGGACTTATTAGTTTCAACGAGGTAATTTATAATTTAATGTTTCAGTAATAAAAAAATTAAAAATCCCTCTCCCTGCTCTTCACAATACTTTCAGATTTAAACCATTTGGTGCCTATCAGTGCGAACGAAGTAAAATCGAGTGAAGGGAAAAGAAAATAACCTCTTTTGCTGAGGCGACTTGAAAAGAAAACGAACCCCTTGGAGTAACTTAGGAAAACATTGAAAATATGATTTAACTAATTTTAAGTATTTGATTAAATGCAGTTATAATAATATGTTGGATATGTTTATTCATATGTTAAACAAAAACTTTTGTCGATTCTTTAGTCTAAGATGTATTAGAATAAAAACCTAGAATTAGCGGATATGAAAAATTAATATATTTGTATTTTAATTTGGTTGCATGTTTCTTGCACAATGGATAGGGAGTATGTTGATAAGATTAATTTCTTATTAGTTCGGGCTTATATTAAAAAAGGTTTGTTCCAGAACCTGCAAGAATGTACATTTTTTACTACAATAACAATTTGTTAGTTTATGATATCCAAGGAAATTGTAAAAATTCGTAGATTCATGGAGTACGATAACAGACCAAATATCAGCATAGATTTGAAATACCATGGAGTACATTGTGGTCTTCAATTACTATTTAAGAATTCTTTGTATTACAACGACAATAATGGGGTGGGATTAATATAACTGGATGTTTAAAGAGTTTTACTCTGCAAAATGTCCTTAAAAGCCTATATACGGAAACAGACATTTTGTATAACCTACGATCATTGTTTGAACATTTTACGGGGTGGAATGAAACATATTGTAATGGCTTATAATATGGAATATTTGGCTTTTAAATTCCGAACATAAGGAATAGTTTAAATCGACTATGTTTAAAAAAGGTCCTGTATACAAAAATGATTATATTTAAAAAAATGTATTGGTGTTCTTCCGTATTTAAAAAGTAAAAATGAGAATATCGAAAACCATTACGATTAATAATAAGTGGAGAATATATATTTATTTTTTTAATTCCATTTGTAACATGGCCATTGTCTTACACGATTCGTTAATGTTGTCTGCAAGACACTTTCTACTGGGTGATTTTGGAATAGGAAAATACATCAAAAGTGCGTCTTAAATGTAATAATGTTGGTGACATCGGATGTATAGAGGGTTAAAAAAAAAACAACAACAAATTCCTATGACATATAATGTTACCACCAGCTGGCTTAATAAGTTCGGGAACAGACCACTTGATGAGTTCCAAATTAAAACGGGTTGCCATCATAAAATTCTCAAATGAGACTACCTTCTGTAATTACACCATGAGGGTATCGTATGGTCGTATCGTACGGTCGTACGTTCTCCGCTCACTGGCTTCCTATTACATTGAACATTGAGGGTATCGTATGGTCGTCCCCGTCCGACTATACTGCTCCGCTCACTGCTTTTCTATTACATTGCACTTCCTCCATAGTTAGGGTGCAGATTCAAGTACTTTATTCCCCTATTTGAAATAATTATTTTATTGAGTTAATAAATAGAGATGGAGAGGCTGCTTAATTGAATGTAATTGATGTATAGTTGTTTATAGACCTTTGCATAATAAAATTGCAAAATATATATTGTATGTTCCCCTACTCAAAAAGTGGTATAACAATTAATGGCCTGTTCCCGTACTGCAATAATCTGCTAGATTTTATAATTTTCTTAGATATCATAAAGGAAAATTCGTTATGGTAGTAACAATTAGTAGATTATTGCAGTATGGAAACATATCATTATTAAGGAAAAATCTAAAATAAATTTCGATTAATATAATATTTTTGTTGGTTCTAAAATATAAAACATTGTTTACTATTTTAAACAATATATTAATCGTTCAATTATTAAATTGCAAATGTTATGACAAAATTAATATACACTCCGTCGTATCATGGATGATACAATTGTGACCAAATTTTTTAGTTCCTAATATAATTACAAAGTATCAAAAATATAATTTCAATCTTTCCAAAAAGTAATATTCAACCAAATGTGCATAGAAAAAATATCCTATTAAAATAAAATGCATCCTTTCACTAATTTGGCAAACTGTAATCTCTGTTGGATCATATGAATATGTATGTATTTCAGTGTATTATTGTTGCTGTGTAAAAAAATTGGAAAATCCTTAATCCTACTTACATAAAAGGAATCCCACATGCAGCGTTTACAAAAAAAAAAAAAAAATAAATAATTTTTTTTTGAAGTCTATTCAGGTAGAGAAACCAAGGATTCTTTTGTTTCCTTTTTTCTTTCATTATTCGTATGTATAGGATTTCTATGTATGTATGTATGTGTATGCTAGCATGTAAGAAATTACCTGAATCCACTAAGGATACCAGTGTTTTTTAAAAACAAACAGATGTCACAACATTTCCCAAGAAAAAATAACATATTCAGTTCTTTTCAGTGCATTATTAAAAGAACTAATTGTAGGTCTTTTAAATGGAAATTAAAAAAATTCACACCTCTGCTGGTTAGTTACAAAAATATTATTTATAAAATCCACGACTCTGTTGGTTAATTGCAAACAATATTCTTTATAAAATCCACGACTCTGTTGGGTAGTTCGAAAAATATTCTTTATAAAATAAGTCCTCTTCTAATTTTTCAAGCAATTTTTTATTATTATTGATATCTATAAAATTATTAATAAGTATAATAATAACCTCAATAATCTCTACATGTTAACATCTACTATAAATATTGTATAGATATGATCCATATAGTAGATATGCTGGGATATAATGTTAATATATATTTTGAATATTGTTGACATATAAAATGTGATTATGATAATTCTTTATTATCCGCCATCTTCTTTGTTTTCAAATTGTCCACTCTTAACAGTACAAAATACGTGGACTAGTCGAAGTTGGTTGTCATATATCCACACCACCGCTACGTGTTAGAGTGCCGGCCTTATATGGTGGTGGCTTTGGCCTTAGGTATGTATTAGATGGACTCTCAGTTTGATAGAAACTGGTGGGACTGAAAAGAATAAATTTTAAAATTTTATTCCCAAAAATATTCAAAAGTTCGAATAGCTGTATATAACATACATACCTTTGTGAGCGAACACTGGTATTATCCAACAAACAATTGGGATCCTTAAGACTTTTCAAAGTGGTAACCGGTTGAGAATTTGTATCGGAATACTGTACCATTTGTACCGTGGATGATGTTGTGGGATAAGTTTCCTTGTAGCTGGAAATATAGGGAGAATTTTTTTTTATTATATTTTAATATGTATTTACTATATATCATTATTGTTAATTAAGGATAACAAAATAAAAAATTCACCTTTCTTGATCTTCTTGCTTAGAATCTGTATCAGAACCATGTGACGATTCTAAACACTCTTCTTCACATATATGAAAAATATTATCAAAAAAGAATTCCGATTTTGGATCGTGTCTAAAACGAAAATTATAATAAAATTAAAATAAAACAAAAATAATAAAGCTTAAATTAAAAAATATAAATAAAAGGGACTTTTTAAAGAATATTTTTTCAACTAAACAACAGAGGCGTGGATTTAAACAAATATATATATATATATATATATATATGGGCAATATTGCCAATTTTTTAATATTCCATTTTCAAAAAATCAGCTTTTTTGTTTTTGTGGCACATGAATGATTTTTGGTACACATATAGAGAAAAATGTTCTGACTCCGAAACCGTTCGCGATCAAATTTTTGGTTGATGCGCGCAAAAGTTATCGAGGTTTTAACTTTGGGCAAAAGAAAAAAATCTTAAAATTACGCCGTTTATTATATTGACCAAAAACGTTGATATATGTCTTCTTCCGTAAAGTAAGAATATGAATATATTACAATAATCGCGATAAAGTTGCACATTTTCACGAAATATGAGAAAAATGATAAAAATATAGGATATTACGTCAATATTTTCATTATATTAATGACATACACACACCTAAAAATTTATATAAAAATATCTACATAATATAAACACCATGATGAATCAAATGATATCAAAATCACACAAGTCCGTGTAGCGGTTTGTAAATCGGAGCGACAACAAATCAAGATATTGAGGAAAAATATTTGTTTTTGGTTCGAAAAAAAATGTCATCATATTTATTTTTTTATTTTATACAAGAAATTTCAGAAAAAAAATGTTGGGGTTATTCTGCTATTTTACCCAAATTTCGTCGAAAAATTTACATATTTAAAAATAATCACATTTGGTGTATAAGTATACACCTTGTGGATTGTAGCAAGACCCCTCCGATAAATCTTGGGGTTCTATAAATAGGAATAAATCTTAAAATAAAATAATATTATGAAATATACATTTTAAATTGCGTCTAAATCGCGTAATTCTCAAAATCATTTGATGCGCATGCGGTTTTCAGGAAGTACTGAAGTTTATCTTCTAATCCATATATATTTTGCGAAAATTCATTTGACGGCAAAGATGTGCCGCACGTTACATTGAAGTACCCAAAAAATCGTAAAACGCGAATAATTTCCGAAAACTCCATATACCATTAACGCGCATCCGATTTCTGTGTGGACCCTAAAAAAATACATCGATCTATATCATTTCAATGTGGTCCATTAAGAACCATGGATGTGCCAGCAAAATCAATTTTTGAGATAAATTGCGTACATCTCTCTTTCGGCTGAAGTTTTTAAAGTTCTCTTTTCGAAAAAGATCAAAATCCGTATGAGGTCATTTATTGAAGCGGAAATGATACACAGAAAACGCAAATAAATCCGCGATATTTTCAAAAACATTTTTTGCCAAATTTCGTGTTTTTGGAAGGCCAGTTCCCGCTGTTCTAGTAGATGGATTTTCAAGAAGAAGATTTTATATCATCCGAAACGTAAAAAACCTTATTGATCGCGGGTACCCATATCATTCAGTTGACAGATCTAAAAATTTGGCCCGAAAAATAGGTTTTTTAGAAATTTGATCGCACAAAATTCGCACCTTGGGATGAGTATTACTCTGAAGCTGTGCATACTACATACACAAAATACATATCAAATTACGCAGATTCGCGACTACAATAATATTATAATCGATTTTTATAAATTCCTGTTTGCGTATTAAAGCTAGAAGTAAAATTAAAAAAACACTCAAAATCGAGCTTCAAAATGTCAGCATCATTTAAAGGTAGATGCAGTGAAAATTTTGAAAAAGTATACATAAGGGGCGTAGTCCCCATTTTGTTGGCTTTTAGTTTTATTTTGACACGAAGACCGTGCAATGAGTGGCTTAGTCACAAATCGATAGAGAACATAAAAAAACTGGTTCGCCTCAACGTGTTTTTACACATTTTTTTACATTAAAGTAGACACAGCTTCCACCAAAATAAAGTTTGGAGGTCAATATCATGAACAGTTTGCAACGACAGATCAATTTACCCAAAACTATTCACTTTTTTTCCTATACTTAAGTAATTCCCGAGTTATAAAGGGGTAAACCTCCGCTTCAGCTATGTTAAAAAATTGGCAATATTGCCCATATATATATTACAAATATATAATGTTAGTACCAATACTCACAATTTCTGATGTCTGAAACACAATGTGGCCGTTAGTATGCCACAAAGCAGCCCAAAGAGAACAGTCGGTATGGCAAAGGCAAATGCAAACTCATCGATATAATTGCGTATGGGAACATCCTCACGGGCCATACCATGCCAACGATCTGTACGTCGTTTCAAATTTAACATTTCACTATGACCAATAACTCTATTGTTGTTATTATTATTGTTATTGCCATTAGCAGCCGCCGAATCATGATTGTGATGTAGAACTTCGGGTGTCGAATCAGTGCCAACCATTTTAAAGGCACACCAATCCAGTTTGAAACCAACATTTTCAAATATTTTCTGTACCGAGGTGCGCTTATAAGTACATGAGGGCAATTTGTAAAGGGGTCGTACTTCTTCCTGCAGCTGATTTAGACGTTCCGAAAATTTGGCAAAGCTACCCAGGTGAACAATAACCCTGAAAAGGAAATGAAAATGGAATTGTTAAATAAAAAAATTTATAAAATATTATCCATACTTTACCCCTCATGCTGTTGAGGCCTCAATGGCAAACGTCCACCCATATTCACTGCCGATTCCATAAAGACCAAACTCAAATCTGCTTCACTTTCCGGCCACAGATCTTTACGGAAAATATTACGTAAATTCTCAACCCTACCAGGATCCATTAAATGTACCCAATTTAAATTGTCAATTTTCATTTGCACCACATTGGGAGCATGGAACTTCGAAGCAATAGCTATATCCAGCTGAGCATTTCTTGTCTCATAATTTTGTTTATTCAATGCCACAATTTCCAGCGTAATTTTCTTACCAGCCAAACGGGCTGGTGGTGTCCCGTACAGGAAACCGGCATGATGTTCATGACTATACATATAACGCATCCATGATGGTAAATCGGGATACGACTTCAACGATGGTGTATAGCGGAATTGTTCATTAATCACCTGGTGCGTCCAATTGAACATCGATGGTTCAATTTTAAATGTATACAGTTCGCCGACCGATGCTTGACCCACAATTTGACCGTTCGAGGTCGCATAAAGGCAGCATGATATTAAAAGCAAGGCCGTCGTTGAATGACGCCATAATAACGTTTTTAATTTCCACATTTTTTATCGTATTTATTTATTTTTTTTTTAATTAATTTGAAGACATGCTTTTCAATTTAATAAAAATTCAATTATTTTATTCACTTTATTATTAAAAAATACTCTTTTTGCAAATTCTAAAATCTGACGACAGCACGAAAAATAATGTTAGCTGTGTATCTAAAAGAATTTTTTGTGGGTGGCAGGCGAAAACTTCCGAAATTGGGAGCTGAATCGTGGGGATACGAGAGTTTGTTTACACGAATTTGCCAACTGAGAGACATAAACAGAGAACATTTATAACGGTTACAACAACTCAGGGAAGAGAGCGTTGCCACATTTAGGAAAATCAGTAATCGATAACGTGTAATAATCGATAATATAATAACGGTAATAATTTAGATTTAATCATGTTAATAAGGTGATGTATCTTAGCCGGGAAGGAGATGATTTAATAAAGAAAAATGGTGATGTATCAAAACAAAAACCTTTGTTTTTTGTCTCGACCATCTACCATAGATAGATACCATGCAACGGCTCTGATTGGCTTTAACATGGCGAAGCCCAGGCTTATCTTGGTCCCTCTCATCTCAATTGTGGACACTGACCTCCCCGCGGTGTCACCTGGGGTAACTATTTTCATCATCCATTGAAATAGTAAGCTAATATGTTCCGCGTGTTCACTCATAAGAACTATAAAAAATGAGTTAAGGCGTCGGGTTCCACACTCGGAAACCCCTTCTTACTAAGAAAAAGCTACGAAAAAGAAAACCAAACCCCTCTAATGTTAGCGACCCCCGTATAGATAACCACGATCAGCGAATCTGCATTTGGAATGTGCGCACGTTGTACAGAACAGGCGCAGATTTCTCATTTGCGGATGTACTCAAAATGTACAAAGCCTATATTATTGCATTACAGGAAATGCGATGGAAAGGGACAGGCGTAAGTAAATTACACCCTGTATTATAGCTGCCATAAAACGAGACATGAATATGGCTGCCGATTTATGGTTAACAGGAGAATAAAATACCTTGTCTCTGGATTCACTCCAGTAGACGAGCGAATTGTTATAATCCGTATAAAAGCGAAGTTTTTCTACATCTGTCTCATTTGAGACCATGCTCCGACCGAAGACAAAGATAAACAGACCAAAGACATATTTTACGCGCGCCTAGAAACATCATATGAGCGCCGCCCTGCCCATGACATTAAAATTCTGCTAGGAATTTTTAATGGTAAAATCGTAAGAGAAAATATCTCTGGCCTAACCGTCGGAAAATTCAGTCTCCATGAAGAAAAATCCGAAAACGGCATGAGGATGATTGACTTCACGACAGCAAAAAACATGGTAGTTGGCAGCACCAGATTCAAGCATCTCGATATACACAAGGCCACCTGGATTTCTCCCGACCAAACAACGAGAAATCAAATCGATCATGTTGTGATAGACGGACGGCAATCGTCTAGTGTTTTACACGTTCGATCGATACGAGGAGCGAATGTAGAAGAGTAAGGCTACGTTTACATTTAACCGGATTTCATTAACCCAGTGGGTTTCAATTGCCAATTCCTTTGCATATATGTCAAATAAATCCTCATAGAGTAGGTTAACCCCGTAAAAAGTTCTAATGTATATGTCGTTTAAGACGACAAGTAGACTCGGACCAACTGTGGAAATTTAAGACTACAGCTTCGATGTAGTAAACGATTTTATGTACCTTGGTACTGCCATAAATAAAACGAATGACATCAGTTTTTAAATTCGGAGAAGGATTGTGATGGCCAACAGATGCTACTATGGGCCACTTCTAGCCAGGCCAAACTCACACTCTACAAGACACCCGTGCTGTTATATGGATCTGAAGCATGGATACTTGCGCAAACACATGAGGCAGCTCTTGGAGTGTTTGAGAGAAAATTTCTCCGAAAGATCTATGGGCCGTTTTGCGTCGACGGTGAATATTGTCGTTGAATGAACTATACAATCTATTCTCGCGTGTCGACATAGTCAGACTGATCGAGAGATTCATGATGTGGACTATTCCGTCTATGTTAGGATGAAGAGGAAACAGAAACTGTCGAACATCTTCATTGTCGATGCCCCAAGTTTCGATGCACAACTAACATATGACAAGCGCAACAGCTGTTTCTTCAAATAGCATTGCAATCTATTGCCGCCGTTGTTTCTTACCAAAGCGCCTTGCACTCAAGTTCATGGCCTATAAATAAGGTCACCAAGATGGCGAATTTATCGAAAAATCAGCTGTTTCTCTCAAGTCTAATGTCAAAATTTGTTGTGTTGAGGCGAAAAAAATATTCGCCTTGACAGATTGATAAAGTGGCGAATTTGTCTGCTGTCAAAAAGCGTCATTGTTTATAATGAGAAAAACAATGTTTGGAAAAATGTATTTGGAAAATGCTTTTCCAGCTTTCGAATTATTCTTCCGTCGTGTTTCCCAGATGCAATAAATAGATCTATTTCAAAAAATGTTAGGTAAGTACGTCTTAAAAAAATAATCTTTTGTCTATTCCAGGTTGCCTGCCAATTGAGATGGAGAAAAAATGCCAACTATATTATGGGAAGGATAATGGTTATGGGGTTTCGTTATGTCGGATTGATAACAGGTTAAGCAAATGTGTGAGTTGGTGCCTCTGTGGAATGGCATTTTCCACAGAGGCACCAACTCACTGAACTGCTGATTTCTTAACTACAATATACATTTATAATCCACCCTGGTTGTTGGGTGGAACAGTTAATGGTGAGTCAAGTGTGTTTTGTTGTTACACTCAATAAATAAAAGATTGTTTTCCCAATGTTTCAGATGGCTGATCCGTTCATTATAATTTGCAATCAAAATGCAGGCTACAGTTATGCACCGATTACCTCAATTCTGATCAAAAACGACAAAGGTGTACCCCCGGATCATTTTGAAATTTTAATTACATGACCGTATTGACCTTATACGAAATACGAAACACCGATATGCCTCCATGATTTTCCCATATAATCCTAAATTAACAATGGACATTATTTTGAGGCTGTGAAGGGTGAAGGCTGTAAAAAAATAATTTTGCTGTTTTTTGTTTGGTGCATACAGTTGTGAGTGTCAAGGTGTTAAAAATGGAAATAAACAAAGATAATATTCGGTACATTTTACAGTTTTTCTTTAAAAAAGGCAAAAATGCAAGCCAAGCGGCTAAAATTGTGAATGGTGTTTATCGTTCCTGTAGTGTAACAGCCAATTATGTGCAATTTTAGTTTCGTAGATTTCGTTCAGGAATTTTTGATGTTAAAAATGTACCTCGCACAGGTAGGCCGGTCGTCGAAAATGTCGATAAAATCGGAGAAATGATCGAAGTTGACTGGCATGTTAGCAGTCGTAACATCGCCCAGGAGCTAAAAGTCGACCATAAAACTGTTTTAAACCAGTTACAATTGACCAGAAACGGCCAGAATTGCCAACTGGAGAGGTGTCGTGTTTCACCAGGACAACGCAAGGCCACACACATCTACAGTGACTCGCCAGAAACTTCTGGAGCTTGGTTGGGAAGTTTTAATGCATTGGCCATATAGTCGGGATTTGTCCAAATTTTCTTTCAAAATTTCTTTAATAATAAAAAATTGTATCTAGGGAATATTGTGAAAATCGACTACTAGAGTTTTTTTTTGCAAATAGAGAGCAGGACTTCTAGAGGCTTTATGAAGTTCCCTTTAAAATGGTAACAAATCATACAACAAATCGGACTCCGAAGCATGTTTTTTTCCCAACCTAATATTAACAATGCATTACATACGTATCATAAATGCAAACAGACGTAACAACACTTTTAGTAACTTTACAGGAGAAGCAAAAAACGTTCTTTCGATTTGCACGAAATTTTGCATAGCGTACTGAATTGAGTCTAGAGTGATGTGTGTTAAGTTTCGTGAAAATCGCTTCAGATTTCGATATAGCTCCCATATACAGTTTCGACCGATTTTATGTAAATGTTGCACTGAAGACATTAAATATTTCTTCGATAGCGATAGAACTTTACACAGGATACTTTTCCACCCAGTGGGAAACAAAAGTACCTAATTATAGCGTATTAGTTAAAAATGAATAAAAGCCTTAAATTTGAAGTACCGCTATATAGGTAACGCTATAAAAAATTGGCCGATATATCTCATTTTCAAAACCATACATCCCAGAAGTAACATTAATGTAAGTTCAGAATTTCTATCTTCAATATTGTGAGCTTTAGTTTTTTTACAGGAGTGTAGTTACGTCTGTTTGCATTAATAAAAACATGCTATTGTAGATACGTCCGTTTGAATTTTTTAACAAGATCGTTGTTTTTTTTTTTTTTTGTAGTTTGAAATGACATCTCCATTTTGTACGGCGAATTCGAAATATGTTTTGACAGCAAACTTGAGAGGTATCGATAATCAGCTGGTCTCCCTTGGTGACCTTATTTATAGGCCATGCTCAAGTTTAAAGTCATACAAAAATTCGATTAGTCGAAAATCGATTTACTTATCCCTAATTTAAAGTGATAAGAATTGATGAGTAAAAACACAGATTTTTCATTACTAGGAAACGAAAAAATACGTGGCGCTCTTATAAAATAAATAATAAGAAAATAATGAAAACACACTGACGGCATACAGTATTAAAAAAGAAAATATGGCATTTTTAGATTATTTACAGTTGATTGCATTCTTCGGTTCTGTTATATTTACGGTTCTGTTGTTATCGGTAAGTGTTGCACCGACCACCTCCCTTTATATTTACAATTGACCAACAAATGTGCACCCGGTAAACATATTTATTTATTCTGCTCTCCTTTCCAGCTTGCAATTATACAAAAGTCTGTGACAACACCATTGCCTGTGATCAAACGACACAAACAAGAAAAAACCTTTTTGGATCCAAACAAATTGAAGACGATTGAATTCCCTAGCATAGATGATGAACCCAGTGTGGATTTAAGTGTCATTGTACCGGCCTACAATGAGGAGGAGCGAAGTAAGTATATTTGTGGGGGAGTATTAATGGCTCTACGAAAGTCTTTCACATGTTGCGATGACATTCGATTGTAATAATGCGGGTGGATAGAATTTGAACAGACGTGTTTACCTACATTCCGTGACTATGGTGCAATTTTACTAATAAATACACAATTCATGCAAATCCTCTACTAGAACTTTTCTCCTTTACGTCACTGCTGGTAAGCAATTGGTTATGAAGGAATTTATCAGTGGAACCAAACTCATAGATTTCATAATCTTTGTCAATCCCATTTAATTTTTCCTTTTTTATTTCCAGTGCCTTCTATGTTGGACGAATGTCTGGAGTATTTGGAAAATAAATCCAAGTCTGGCAATTTCACCTATGAGGTGATTGTAGTCAGTGATGGTAGTTCTGATGGCACGGTGGCACTTGCATTGAAGTACTCGAAACGATATACCGCCGAAAAGGTTCGTGTATTGGAGCTGATTGAAAATCGTGGAAAAGGTGGTGCTGTACGATTGGTAAGTAAATACAACAGAAATTATTTGGTAATATTTTTATTATTATTCGTAGGGGTAAAGAGTTATTATCAGCCAACAAAGAAAGGATGAAAGTTCCTTCTCTAATTTAAAAAAAAAGGAAATAAACTGTGTTAGGGGATACAAGACATTTTTTAACCACACTTAAAATTATACTGCTGAGAATGCTGTTGGAAAGTATGACCTATACAGACAATTTTTTCATGAGATATTGTTGTTTCTGTAGTAAACCTGTTGTTCTTATACAAAGAGTTTAGGCGACAGTCGTTGGTTGAGTTGGACTCATATCGGATCCGAAGATACGATGCCGTGGAAACAATATTGAAATTAGGGGATATGTTTATATGGAGGCTGGTAGACCCTATCTAGCAATGGACCAACATAGATTACTTTTTGTTGTTGTTGTAGGAGCCTTATTGCTTTTAACATGTCCATACTTTTTGTAGCGGGATTTGCCGTCCCTTAAAAATGGAATGTACCAAATTATAGCCAATTCCTTTGAAAATTCGATAATATCGATAATTGGGAGGTTTGGGAGCTACATTTAAACATGATGCAATTTTACGCGATTTTCACTCTGCGCCAAATCCTTGAAAAACCCCACGAAAACACATCGACACATTCCACCTCTTCGTCGACTATAAAGCCGCATTCGACAACCCTATCCGTTCAGAGGTGTTTAAAGCCATGTCTGCGTTCGGCATTCCTGCAAAATTAATACAGCTATGCCGCATAACTTTAACTGGCACAAGGTCAGCAGTTAAAGTCTGAAAGGTCCTATCCGAGCCCTTTAATACCGAACGATGACTGAGACAAGGTGACATATTGTTGTGTAATCTTTTAAATATCCAGCTGGAAAAGGTCATACGAGAGGTAAAGGTGAACAGAAATCGCACTCTGTACACCAAACAACTCATATTACTCTCCTACGCCGATGACATTGATATAATGAGTCGAACTTTACAGCCACCTTCGAACAAATTGAGATGGAAGCTGATAAAGTGAGTTTGGCAGTAAATGGCGAGAAGACCAAGCTGATGGTATCTACGCCCAAGACTTCCAGTAGACTCGAACCAACTGTGAAACTTGAGAACTACAGCTTCGAGTTGTGAACGATTTTATATACCTCGGTACCGCCATAAATAAAACAAATGACATAAATTCTTTCAAATTAGAAGAGTTGCCTGCCTGGCAGGTCCAAATATTCTTTTACTGCGTATCACTGCCATTTGCAAACCTAAATTGCCCTAATGCTGGGTTGACCCATTTTGAGGTTATCAATTCCTTCATTAATAGAGCAGAACCGCCCGATAGAAAAAATATTAAGAATTGTATGAACTGGGAAACTTCATCCATTTTGAGCATTACAGATCTGTAAGATCCGCGATGTAGTATAGTACTTCCTAGGCGACATGTTCGGTATGAATACTAATCAGACCTGTCTGATAGATATTTTAATATATACGTTCACCTTATAAGTACTCTCTCTAGATTATGAAGATCTTTCCTGATGTACTTGGGCGGGGGAATAATGGCGATAAGGGTATGACAATTTCGAATTTCAAATCTCCATCGACTCTGCGGCAGCTTCATGTCAGCGTTCTATGTGGTGATCATTGTGGCTGTGGATTTGGATTTCATATTCAAAAACGATGACCTAAAAATGGATTTCACACGATTTCCAAGAAGTTCTAATATTTAAACTACATAGGATGTGAAGCTTTTCAGAAAAAGCTTAACTGTCGGACTTCAATACCCGAGACAACGCAAATTGTTAACAAATTGACTTGACATCTGCTTGGGGCTCGCCTGATGCGGATACAAAAAATATTATATTCCCTTCATGCTATCCAAAAAAGCCAAATGATAGTCTAGACTTTCTTGCCGATATAGTAAATTGAAAGAAAACTGTATAGCGTTCGAAAAAATTGTGGGACAAAAACCGAACTTGGAGACCGTACATTCTTCCTTTGGATAAATCCTCTTCTGTCGATTCAAACCATTTAAAGTTTTCAAAAGTTTCGATAAAAGTTAATTACAAAATTCTTGTACAAAAACAAATGATAAATATGTTGGTGCTTATCATATCGTTGTGGGTTAACATATTTGTGATAACGACTTCTTGGAACACATTTGTAATTAATAGTTCGATAATTTAGATCACACATTTTTATGGGAAATTGAATAATATCTTACGTGGTTGAGGTTCACAAATGGACTGTCAAAAATGAATGAAGAGGAATAACCGAGAGGTGAATTGCAGAAAAAGCTACTCAATTTTTGAAATATCTCACATATTAAATATATAACTTCTAAGAAATATCGAAAAGTTCATGGTCATTGTTGTAATTGCTGCTTTATTGTTCTTCATCAGAATAATTGATACTCTGACCTCATCTTGGCTAGGTGGTATACAATCTATACCGTCATCTCTTATTGGTTCTGGGTTAACTTCTTCACCGCCCCTATATATACCACAAGCTTTGCAAATTGCTCCTTCCAGATTCTCAACACGTCTGTATCTGTCACCAGGTTTTATTCTTCATCTCTACAGGAGTATGTGCCTGCACCAAAGACTTTCGCTTCGTGTTTTACTCGTTGGTAAATTGTCCGGACTTCATTCAGACTCCTGTATTTCTCGATTTCCTCACGCTTACGTTCACGCTCCTTTGCTGCTAAATTAAGTCGGATGCGAACCTTGGCTGCCACAAGGAAATGGTCCGAATCGATAATCACTCCTCGTATCGATGGAACATCTAAAACACTGGACGAATACCTTCCGTCTATCACAACATGATCGATTTGATTTCTCGTTCTTCGATCGGGAGAAATTCAGGTGACCTTGTGTATATCGAGATGCTGGAATCTGGTGCTGCTAACTACCATGCTTTTTGCTGCCGCGAATTCAATTAACCTCATGCCGTTGTGAGATGCTTCTTCATGGAGGCTCAATTTTCCGTCCGTGGGGCCAAATATATGTTCCCTTCCGATATTTTTGCATTCAAATCTCCTAGTAGAATTTTAATGTCATGGCCAGAGCAGCGGTCATATGCAGTTTCTAGGCGCTCGTAAAATATTTCGTTGGTCTCTTCATCTTTGTCTTCGGTCGAAGCATGGGCGCAAATGAGACTGATGTAGAAGAACTACGCTTTTATAGGGATTACAGCAATACTACTGGAGTGAATCTGGAGCCGAGATCTTTTATTCTCCTATAAACCATAAATCCGCAGCTAAATTCTGGTCTCGTTTTTATGGCAGCTATAATGCAAAGCGTAATCATCTGATTTACTTACGCCAGTCCCTTTCAATCGCATTTCCTGTAAGGCAATAATATCGGTTTTCTACTTCTTGAGTACATCGAAAGTCCAATTAACAAAAACCGCAACAAACGATGAAATTTTTTGATTGATTTCAATACTAATCGATGTTGTTTAAAATTGCAGATTTATTTGATTTTTAAATATACTAAAAATTTCCTTACCTATCTTTTTTTAGGGCATGCTAAGTGCTCGTGGTCGTAATTTACTTTTTGCCGATGCTGATGGTGCAACAACATTCTCGGACTTAGATAAACTCACCGAAAGTTTGGCAACTATTAATAAAGATTGGAAAGATGATGCTGTGGTAATTGGTTCAAGGGCACATTTGGAAAAGGAAGCCATTGCCACAAGAAGTGCATTTAGGTGACTATATATTCTTTCCTAATATGAATAGTTATTCAGAAATTTCGATTACATATTTTCAGAACATTCCTGATGCATGGTTTCCACTTTTTGGTGTGGTTATTTGCTGTGCGCTCCCTAAGAGATACACAATGTGGTTTTAAACTACTAACCAGATCGGCAGCTAGAAAACTCTTTCGCATTATGCATGTGGAGAGATGGTAAGCAATTTCTCAGTCTCAAAAATAATTCATAGTTCGAATATATTTTTATTTATTTACCATAATTCCGAGCCATTGATCTTCAATAAAATTAAATTCAAATCTATGTTTGAAAACAAAAATCCAATTTAATAAATTTTTAAAATATAAAACTGAAATCATATTGTAAATTTAAAAATAATTTCTTCTTCCTTTCCAGGGCCTTTGATGTCGAACTGTTATTTTTGGTAGAACGCCTAAACATTCCCGTACGTGAAGTTGCCGTTAAATGGCAAGAAATTGAAGGTTCAAAGCTGACACCATTTTGGTCATGGATACAAATGGGTGTTGATTTATTTTTAATATGGTTCCGTTATACAATTGGTGCATGGCAAATTGTCGACACCACCAAAGCCCATGCAGAATAATCTCCCAAGTTTTCTTTTCATCCCTTTTTTGAATGTTTTAGAATTTTTTTTATTTTGAAACAAAACAAAAAACAATTTTTTTAGAAATGTAATGAAGTTTTAACTTAAGTTTTATTTTTGTACTTCTTACAAAAAAGATAATGTTTCGAAATAGTTTTAAAGATTCCATTTTGGTAAAAAAAAACAACACAAAAGATTGCAATAAAAAGCTTTTATTTTTAGAAAATAATTTAATTTGATTACTATGGTGGGCAATCAGAAGGTACCTAAAAAATTATTTTTAAGTTACTTGGATTTTATAAAAATTATTTCTAAGCGACCTTTTAAAGGCGTGGATTTTTAAAACTAATTTTTAAGGTAGTTTCCAAAGGCGTGGATTTTTTTTGGAAATTATTTTTAAGTGACCTTTCAAAGGCGTGTATTTTTTAAAAATTACAAGCACTTGTCCCGATAATAGTATAGAAGCACAATGGCAAATAATTTCCCACTCCCTACAAACTGCAGCAAAAGCAAAACTTGCGTACCAAAAACCACCACCAAGAAGCCCATGGTACGATCAGCAGTGTCGTAATGCTACTGAGGTGAAAAACGCAGCGTATAGGGCAACCCTGCAGACAGTAGTAACACGTAATGCGATGGGGAATTAACGGGAGAAAAGGAGAGAGGAGAATCGTTTTTTTCGGAAAAAAGAAGAAAGAACAAGAAAAACGTGAGCATGAGCAAATCGAGATGTACAGGAGTCAGAATGAAGTCCGGAAATTTTACCAAAAAAACCAAACTGAAGATTTTGGTACAGGCACATCCTCCTATAGAGATGAAGAAGGAAATCTGGTGACAGATACAGACAGCGTGTTGAGGATCTGGAAGTAGCATTTTGAAGAGCTTCTGGTATCAAATAGTAGCGGTGAAGAAGATACCCCAGAACCAATAAGAGATGATGGTATAGAGTGTATATCACCTACCCAAGATGAGGTCATAAAAGCAATTAATCGGATCAAGAACAATAAAACAGCAGGAGCCGATGGGTTACCAGCCGTACTATTCAAGACTGGTGATCAGAAGCATGCACTAGCTGATTAGTACAATTTGGCTAGAGGAATGCATGCCCAATGATTGGAACCTCAGCATCCTGTGTCTCGTGCACAAAAAAGGAGACACGACGATATGTGCCAACTATAAAGGAATTAGCTTTCTTCCCATCGCATATAAAGTGCGATGTGCTGTGTGAACGATTGAAGCCAATGGTCAAAACCAATGCGGCTTCAGACCTGGCAAATCCCCCATTGACCAGATTTTCACTCAGCGCTAAATCCTGGAAAAGACCGACGAAAAACACATCGACACATACCACCTTTTCGTCGACTATAAAACCGCGGCAGCCCTATCCGTTCAGAGGTGTTTAAAGTCATGTCTGCGTTCGGCATTCCTGCAAAATTAATACGGCTATGCAGGATAACTTTAAGTGGTACAAGGTCAGCAGTTAAAGAAGGAAAGGACCTCGGTGTGACCTTTTTAAAATCCTGCTGGTAAAGGTCGAGAGGCAAAAGTGAACAGAAATGGTACTATGTACATTAAACAACACATGTTACTCACCTACGCCGATGACATCGACATAATGGGTCGAACACTGAGAGCGGTAACAGCCACCATTGAACAAATTGAGAAGGAGTCTGCCAAAGTGGGGATGGCAACCAACTGTGGAACTTGAGAACTACAGCTTCGAGGTAGTTAAAGATTTTATATACCTTGGTACCGCCATTTATAAAACGAATGACATCAGTTTTAAAATTCGGAGAAGGATTGCGATGGCCAACAGATGCTAATATGGTCTAAGTAAGCAGTTTAGAAACAAGGCCACCTCCCGCCAGATCAAACTCACAATTTACAAGATGCTAATACTACCCGTGCTGTTATATGGATCTGAAGCATGGGTACTTGCGCAAGCAGATGAGGCTGCTTTTGGGGTGTTTAAAAGAAAAATTCTCCGAAAGATCTATGGGCCGATCTGCGTCGAATGAACCATGAGTTGTACCAGCTATTCTCTGCATTGTTAGACGTATTGAGTTGCAGCGCCTACGTGGCTAGGCAATGTTGTGAAAATGGAATATAAAAGCGAACCAGCTGATGGCTCACGCAGAAGGGGAAGGCCACGAATAAGTTGGAAATATCAAAACGAAGGCAACATAGCCGAAAATGGTCTTTCAAATTGGAAAAACTGCGCAAAAGATCGACGCGCCTGGAAATCTTTCCTAAGCTCGGCTTATGGAACGAAAGTTCTGTCACAAGCCAGCTAAGTAAAGTAAGTAAGTTCAAAGGCGTGGATTTTTTTAATTATTTTTAAGCGATCTATCAAATGCGTGGATTTTTTTAAAAAATATATTTAAGCGACCTTTCGAAAACCTCAGGTATGAAGTATTATTTCTCTGTAGAAACCTTTAAAGGGTTAATTCAATTTGATGGCATTGCCATTTAGATTACATTGTACCGGTAAAAACATGGTTGCATGAATGGGCACAAAAGTAAACAACTTTGATTTACATAGGAAATTTAATCAAATAAAAGAAAAACAAATTCAAAATAATTTACAATTTTTAATAAAAATAATAAAATTTATTTTAAAAACAATATAAATATATTTTTAAATTCTATACTAAATACCCTATTCATTTTTTCTTATTTGAAAGTACTCTTTTGCGGTTTAATCCACCAACTTCAACCACATACCAAAATAATACAACTGTTCATGTGTCGGTGACAAACAACAACAACAAACAATCTGATTGAGCCAGTCTTCAATAGTGATTTAAAGAGAAGAAAAGTGCCTTTTGAAATTTTAGTTTTGGTTACTGTTTTTTCGGAAATAAATTGGCAATTATAAATTCGCGGGTTTTTCTTCTAAGAAAAAAAGAAAAATATTGAATAATAATGCATAACAATAATGAATAAAAGTGAAAATAAACGAAAATCCAATATAAATTCAGTTTTTAATTTCATTATCATTTGAGTGTGTGTACAAAAATTCCTTAAGGAATACCAAAGCAATCAGGCAGGCAGCCAGTCAACCAACAAAACAGGCAAGGCAACATCCAAAACAACAACAAAATATCATCAAAAAAACAAAAACAAGAATCCAATAAGACAAAGCAACAAGTAAAAAGCGTCGCGTCGGCGTATCTCTTTTTCGTATTGTCCGTTCGTGTGGTTGTGTGTGCGTGTTTTTTAATTTAATTCGATGGTTGTCCGTGGACGGTTCGGTGTTTGAAACGTAAAGAAATAACTACAACAATATCAAGGCATTTCAATTCCAAGAATTTTTCTTATTGAATCAAATCAAAACAAAATGAATAAAAACAGTAAAAGAATAAATGCGTCGGTTCGGGTTAAATGCGTGCCAAAATAAATCACAATAGTGTGTGAGAGAGAAAGGGAGAGGATAATAAATTTATTTAAATTGAATCAAACAAAATAATTCCTGCTGATCATATTTAACTGTCATTAAGTGAGTGTGTGTTTTGTTGTTTCTTGTTGTATTATCTCTTTTGGAAATTGAAAGTGCCGTCAGTTATTATATTTCTGTTGTTGTTGTTTATTCTCTATTGTAATAAAAGGAAAACAAAACAATAATAACAATAACATTACAATTGAACTAGACTGTTTTGTTTTTGTTGTTATGCTCTCTCTGCCGCTGCCGCTGCTACTGTGCTGACTGCATGCAGTGCCAATGATTTATGCGAGGGAGAGTCAGACAGAGAAAGAGAGTGAGGGAGTGAAAGAGTTTTGTATAGCCTTGCCTTGTCAATTTATCGCGCCCTTTAATTAATTAAAAAGAAGTGATTGTTTTGATTTGTTGGTGCTTATCGATTATTTTTAATGCAAAATATTATGCAGAAATAATGAAGAAGTATAAAAATTGAATTAATATAACAATTTCAGGGGATTACACAAAAGATCTACAATTTGAGTAAAAGGTAAGTGTATAAATTGGAATGTTATCAAAAGGGTCAGCCGAACACATCCATTCACCCATGATGGTTTTGTCAATTTCTGTTTAATGTAGCGTGACTCATAATTTAAAAATCATTTTTATGCTGATGTTTTAATTTTTTGTTTTGTTAGTGTTGCTGTTGTTGTTGTCGGTTGTTTAGTATACGATCATACCCATATATGGCCAACGCAGCACCATAGGTAATACCTAAATGTGATGTGATGTTGTTTTGATGGTCACTGCCTTTATGCTGCTGACCACAACAGAAAAATCCAAACCGCCCATGCCATTTTTGGTTTGATTGGTGTTACTGAACTCTTCATTAGCTGACGAATTTCAAAATTTTTTGATTTTTTTTTATTCGTACTATCTTTGCCATATGACATGTATGTATGTATTATATGTGGTAATATATGTTTGTCATTTTATTTGTAATATATTGCAGATTACAAATATCCAATTTGAATGTGAAAACTTATATTCGGAAGTTCTTGAAATTCGACCGCACAATGTCGCAAGTTTATATTACTAGCCGCCAGTAATAAAAGGTGTGATAGTAGGTGGATGAAAATGTGTACAAGTACATATTATTGGCCTTTGAATAAATCGGACGAAAAATTTTCTATACCTTCCATACAATGGGTCTTAAAATATCGCTCATTTGGTCTCTAAAATAGTTTATATACAACAAAGTTCGATAATAATTAACAGTTCACATCTACATATGATTTTAAAACAAGTCGCAAAAACTAGTAAGATCAGTCCAAGGTTTGGTATACCTCCCATTTATTGGGCCTTGAAAATTTCATTCTTTCGGCATATAAATTTCTTAATACTCCACCGAATTCGATGCGAAGTGTCAGTTGACTTCTAATTAGGCCTTCAAAGCAAATGACAAAAAAATGGATAAATCAGACCAAGATTTGTTATAGCTTCCACATAATGGGTCTTGAAAAATTCCTTTTTTCCTACAAAATGTTAATATACAATCAAATTCGTCGAAATTTGCGGTTTACTTATATTTAGGTCTATAA